CTGTCCCTAGGATGCTTCCTTTCAACTCTGGGTCCTTGTCTGGGGTGTTGAAGCCCAAGTAGACACCTCGAGGTGGAGAATGAAGCAGGATGATGTTGCTCTGTGCAGAAGGAGGACCTGGGGAGGTTATCCCTGGTCAAGTCCTTTATACCCCCAAACCACCAAACCCACAAACAGAATATCAGGGTGTCAACGGTTGCCCTCTTTCCCCATATGTGGCTTAAACTTCTCTGGCAGTTAAAAAATGCAGAGAGACGTGTGCATAAGTTGGCCAAAAGCTTTCATCATATAACTGTCATTCCAGCCAGCTGATACGCTCTATGTGCTTAATTTAGTAATATTTTAGCAATATTTGCAAGGCTGTGGTTTGACTTTTTCCTGCCCACTTTTTCTCAATCCAACTGGCGACCTTCATTGTGTCACCCTTCAACCCTTCAATATGGGGTTGAATTTCACTTGGAATACACGAAATTCCCATCATTGGGATGGCAAAATGGCTGCTGTATTCTGGGAATATTAGGAGTGGAGCCATGAGGAGGCTCTGGCTATAGAGGGCCTGGGCAGAGAGAGAAGAGGTGGCAGTCAAGGGACAGGTTATCCAGCACCCCTCCCTCCCTTTCTCCATCCAGCTAATCAATCTTAGTTGATCTGGAACAACTAACCAGGGTTAATCCTGGCAAAGGCCTCTCCTGCTTCAGCTGGACAGTAGCTATGCAATTCCTTGACCAATAGAAAAGACCTACCTTCTGTGCATCGTTCAGTCCAATCCAGACATTTCCCTTCTCTGTGAGATAGTCGGAGAGGTATTCAGCCAAGTCAGCTGACTCTGCCAGGCTGTGGATGGAGGCGAGGTGGCAGCCTGGCTTGTGTTTCCTGCAGAACATCTGGGAAGAACAACAACAGAGAAAGGGGCCTTTTTTTCAGCAGAGAAGGAACACGTCTGTCTGTTTGTGCATGTGAGGAAACAGGAGGGATCTGATTGTACAGTCCTGGCTACCATCTTTGTTGAATCCCAAGAAGTCCTTGCTGGAGTCTGCAGATTGTAACATGGATAACTAACCTAGTCAAGTCAGGACGTGGCAACCAGAGCTTGTCCGTCAGGTTCTGCTTAGCCACAAGAGGAGCGCAGAGAACTTGAGTGATGGACTTTCATCCAAACTCAAACTCCAAGGCAAGGTCTTAAGATGATGCCTGAAGATGACAGCCAGAGTTGCCAGTGTAAGATGAGGAAATCTGACAGCTACAAGATAGTCACTCAACCTTGAAGCTCAACCCTACCCAACAGATATTGGCCACGAAAGCCTAGATCAGTACAAAGTAAGAACAATTAACCAGTGCAACCAGCTTCCCGCCAGAGGTTGTGGGTGCTCCAACACTGGAGGTTTTTAAGAAAAGACTAGACAGCCACCTGTCAGAAATGTTGTCTGTCTGTCTGTCTCTCTCTGTCTGCCTCTCTTTTTCTCTCACACACTCTCTCTCTTTCTCTTTCTCTCTCTCTCTTCCTCTCTTTCTCACTTTCTCTCTCTCTCTCTCATTCTCTCACTCTCTCTCACACACACACAAAATCTAATTCTAGATTTAAAAATCTTCATTTTCGAACACCAAAATGCAAATGCTTCAAAGTTCTTTCAAAGTGTGGCTAAACTGCACCAAGAGTTGTATCAGAGCCCGGAACGATTGTGTTTCTTTGAGGAACCTTATTTGCGGTGGAACCTCCAGCTGAAGGGGAAGTGGAGACGCTCCAGCTGGGAGCCCAATCCAGGGAGGAAGCCTCTGTGGTTTTCATCTGCAGAATTTCCTACAGACCATGCAAGGGTTTCCTTTATGTCGAATAAAGGAATTTTTTATTTTTATTTTTATTTTTA